TTAATAGATACAAATATTTAAGTAAAAGCTCTGCTTATAATAAACAGTTTTAATAATATAAACATAAAAATGTTTTAAAAAATAATTGTCATTTCATAATATATATATATATATATATATATATATATATATATATATATATATATATATATATTTAAGTTACGAAGAACTTGGTAAACCGAATGGGTAATTCTAAGGAGGATGAAATCCTGAGAGCTCAATGTGAATACAGAGCTAATATTTAATGAAAAACAGACCACTTTAAGGTACCATTACGATAATTTATTTCACCAAAATCCTTTTAAAGGACTCCGGATCATCAGGTAACAATTCTAACAATGAAAGGAAAGGAAAAAAATCATTAAATATTAAATATTATATATATATATATATATATATATATATATATATATATATATATATATATACACGCCCCGACCTTTTCGCAATCTCACCTTTTCTTAAAGAATTACTACTTTCCGAAGCCAACATACACGACCGGAAGTATGTTGAAAAATCAAAATAAAACTGTAAAATCCATCACCTCAGGTTTCTGAAGATGTCCATCGCATATGTCCTCATATTATAACAATCTGGTCATAATCTGGTCACCAAAAAATGTTCATAAAGCAAATGTCTTGAATATTACATGCTTACTTTTCACCATACTTTGAATTATGGCACTTTGTGTCCTCCACTGATCTTTCAACCATTTGATGATCATTCATGAACCTTCTCAAAAAGAAATAATTCTTTCAGGAAAGGTTAGACTTGGAAGAAACCGAAGCGAAGACATATATTTTCTTTCTGGGTAAATTACTTCCTCTATTGAGAAGTCTGGCATTTTTAGATCAAAATTTTGGTTGAATATATTTCTGTGTATGACTTGTGTTTTCATATTGTCTTTTTTATTAATTTTGCTCCTCTGCGGATGCAATCTATTTAAAAATAACACACACACACACACACACACACACACACACACACACACATATATATATATATATATATATATATATATATATATATATATATATCATTTTTAGCATTCACAGTTAAATTTCAATTTATGACACGAACAAAGTCCATACCGAGCAGAGTTGATAAGACAGACGACAGATATTATCGTCGGTCAAAATAATCTTATTCCCCATATGAAGTGATTTTGGATTTTATAGTGTTGATAATTTACGCTGTCATAATAAATACATTGAGCTCTTTTTGTGTTTCAGTTTTAATATCTTATATTACTAGGATCCACTTGGATTATAGACCAACAGATTTGTTACCTTTACTATCTATCTATCTATATATATATATATATATATATATATATATATATATATATATATATATATATATATATACGTAAACATTCGTAAAAAGCTTTCTGTACTCTGTTCAGGTTTCTATCAGACTCGAAAGAATAACAACTATGGGTTTGCAATTCCTTATCAATAGTTCTCTTTCCAAATGTATTATGATGCATATGCAATGAAGGCTAGTATCGTAGCGTTTTCATCTCTTTAAAAGTTAATGTGTAATGATAAAATGAAATAGCTTTTAGTTTAAGTTGCTATCTTATGTTTCTTTTGAAGTCTGACGTGATGTATATACATGAAAGAATAACAACTATGGGTTTGCAATTCCTTATCAATAGTTCTCTTTCCAAATGTATTCCTTTTGTATTTGCGTTGGTGTCTCCTGTAGTTTTGGCTACTGAGACTGTGCCAGGCACGTAACCTTGCTTGTTACCAGTGGCAACTGACATACGGTTTCCTCCAATTCTGCTCTTAAGCGAGAGCATCGACTTAGGAATTTTATTGACTATCTGTCAAGATGGAGTCCGGATTTCCCCGCATCAGTGCCATTCCAACCCCTCTTCTTCCTATCACCCCCGTAACAAGAACCACGCCCTCCCCACTTTGCGCCCTCAGTTACGGACACTCTTGCGGAATGTGGGCAGGATCTAGCATTCGACCTTATTTGAACAGAAGAGTGTTGGTCGGCGCCAGAACAGGCAGTGTTGTCTGCATCGGTCTGATCTGCACTGATGGACAGTCAAGCTGTAGCATTACGAGTGTGGATAAAAGCAGCTGTTCGGATTATGAACTTATTCAGAACGAGGCTTCCACCAGAGTTGAAAAGATAAGTAATCATTAATCCGATCCATTTGCCTAATACGACATGCACAAAGGTGTTCAGTAAAAGGAAGAAATCATAAAATAGGAGAATAATAATAATAATAATAATAATAATAATGAGTCTGATCAGTCTGATAAGGTGAAACTGTCAGTTAATTTAAAAAAACAACAACGGTCTACTGTTAACTGGAGCAACGAATGGCTTGTTACAAAGTCTCTCTATTAAACTACTTCTATATGTATACCGACTACGGTAGCGTGTGTGTAGACAGTCGACTAAAGTAGGCACCCGTTTATCTCACGAGATAAAGGTAACGCCCTGTATGGTCAGAATTCAGCCCTGGAGACGGGAGTGATCTCTTCAAGGTGGCAAGCGTGGGCGATAGTATGTGGAAGACTCGCGCTTCCCAGAATAGATATCCTCCGGTAGTTATTATAATAATAATAATAATAATAATAATAATAAGAAGAAGAAGAAGAAGAAGAAGAAGCTACCCCAAGACTATTACAAAGGACGCCATGACAGAGTAGTCCTCAGGATAAATTGGTAACCATACTTGAAATATAGCTTCGTTTGTGCAGATTAGGGCTATGAATATTCATCATTGTCAGTAGTTGAGAGTGAGCAAGTGAAGCCCATGTGAAATAAGATCATCTCGACTGACAAGCGCTTGGAGAGTAATCGCCCTGATATCACACTTGTACATAAAAGCAGTAATGGATAGATCCAGATAGAGGTTACGATACCTTGGGATAAGAATATCCCGATGGTGAAACGAGAGGAAATACAGAGGCACGCAGACCTGGGAGGAAAAATCGGAGAAATGTAAAAAGCTGCAGCTCAAGTGTGTGCGCACTAGGGACTCTTTTCTTTTTACCTCGCAAGACGCCTCAGGGATATCCGACATCATTGTTAGTGCGCTTCTGATAGCGCCGTTTGGAACAATTCGTGCGCTGAAAAAAAACTTGTGTCTGTAAGCTGTGTGTGCGAGTCGAGATATGGTCATCATCAGCAGGCCGAAACATTAGAGAGATTATGAAATAATAATCTCTATTATCATTCTGTTTCTCCACCGACCCCTTCGTTAGTTTGCTAGTTCTTTAATCAATAAATAGTAAAAAAAAAAAAAAAAAAGAAAAAGCTAGAAAGAAAGAAAAAAGAAAGAATTGGGAGTAGCTGAAGCCCACGTGAGACAAGACCATTCGACTGACAAGCGCTTGGAGAGCAATCGCCCTGATTATTACTGTGCATAAGAGAAGCACGGATAGATAGGTCCTGGTAGACGATACGGTAGCTTGGGATAAGGACATCGTGAAAGCTGTAAAAATAGAGGCATCAAGAACTGGCATGGCAAATCAAAGAACTGGACAAATCATCAGCTCAACTTGTACCTTTTTGCCGTTGGCTTAATCATGACTATTGTAGCCTTCAGTAAATATTGAGAACAATGTAGGAGTATGGCTTGAATGTCCAAAGTAGTGGCATGAGTATTCACTACCGCCAGCAACCGAGCGCTGAGGAAAAAGTTGTGTCTGTAATCTGCGGTTGCGAGATCAGCATCACCAGGCCGAAACACTTGAGACATCATGAAATAATAATCTCTATTATCATTCTGCTTCACATCTCCCCTAACCTTTTGTTAGTTTGGTAGCTTCTTAGTTAGTTCGCACGACCGTTACGCCCTGCTAATACATCATAAAACATGTTTAAAACATTGAAGAAAGGTGACAACTGCTTCGATGACAAAAGGAGGCCTGTTTTTGGGAAACAATGCCTTGCTTGAAATGGTTGAAGAGCAGCAAGGTACAGGAATAAGAACTTGTACATTGACGACAGAAACTGATTCTTCACAAAGCCTAAAGCTGTAATCTTGGATGTGCGGTTGGTGTAATGGACCCGGAATTGTTAATCGGAGAGCCGAGTTCTATTTTACTTTGGGTTCGTTATATTCATTATTATTATCTTTTTTATTTTCTTTGATTTCTGGCGTTTACACATTTCTTTCCGGGTCCCGCCCAGGGACCTAAGGTTAGAAATAACGTCATGACACATTCCACTGAAAAAAAAAAAAAAAAAAAATTACATAGTAAGGTGTGAGCTGTACTTGTCAGAACAATTTTTTGTATCTCCTTGAGGCATGGACTTCCAGGAATTCCTTCAATTAGTCTACTGCAATCTTTTCCAACCAGTCCGGAGGGCTCCAACTACAACAGGGATTTTTGATGTTCCCATATGCCACATTTTCGAGATTTCTATTTTCAAGGTCCTTGTATTTTGACAGCTTTTTAATATCTTCAAAGATACATTGCAGTCGGCAGGGACTGCCATATCAATAAGGAGGCACGTTTTTTTGTTTGTGGTCTCTAATAACAATATCTGGGCGGTTGACTTTGATTGTTCTGTCAGTGTATATTGTGTAGTCCCATAGAATTGTAACAGGTCCTATCTCCGTAACCGGGTCTGGGTGGTGTTCATACCAGTTTCTTTCAGTTTTCTTCTCGTAGAAGTTGCAGATTTTCCAGTGCAGATATTGGTCCACTCTGTCATGTCGGGTTTTATATTCAGCAACATGCAACAACATGCAACCTGATACAAGATGATCAATCGTTTCTGGATATTTATCACAGAATCTGCATTTTGGGCTGACACAATATTTTAGTATATGTACTTGATAATTCCTAGTTAGCAAGCATAGGTCCTGCATTATTATTATTATTATTAATCTTTTCAATTATTAATATTCTAATTATTATTATTATTAATATTATTATTATTATTATTATTCTGTAGTCAAATATAACTCTCTTACTTTCATATTCCCATCATCATCATCATCATCATCATCATTATCGGCTTCCGGCCATATCACGCTGAAATACCGATTCCTATACGATCACCGAAGTTAAGCAACGTCGAGCCTGGTCAGTAACCTGATGAGTGAGCGGTTGGTAATACCCTTGCTGTAAGCTTGGATTTGCGGCTGGTGTAATGGATAACGGTTCGAAATTGTTAATTGGGAAGCAAAAATATCTTTGGAAAAGGTATGAACCTCCTCTTCTCCTCTAGCTATGGGTTAATTAGTAAATCGTTATTATCCCCCTCCCCGAATTATTCTTACAATAAGAAAATATTTTCTGGCTTTCAGAAGCCTGCAGTTCGTTTGATAATCCGTAAAAACGAATCAATCAACCAACCTAACCAAATCTACTACTACACAACCGCGCTTTTGTTTTCCCGCTAGAAACAATTGTAGCGACGTCAAGGAAACGGTTATGCTGATGGCCTAGATATTCATAGCTGATATAATAATGATATTGAATAAAAAAATAACCAATGAGCTGGCACCTTGACCTCAGTTACTTGGCCAACGTTATCTTTCAATATATATATATATATATATATATATATATATATATATAATTTTCTGCTTGTCTGAATCATCTTCAAGAAGCGAGAGCAAGATCTAAAAGGTCAACCAATCTAACTGATCTCATATCACAATCCTCACATTTTTATTGGCCTCCTTTGTAAATCACTAGCGGGTCTTAAATGCCAAAGATTAGCGCGTAAACTTTCATAACTGAAAGCTGGCAGATCCTCATACGTCGAAACCAACGGGAGAGTCCATTAGATATATATATATATATATTGTGGCATTTGTTCTAATGAGCTGTCCTCCTTGTTACCTCATGAATTTAAATGTTCTACTAGATTAGTAATTCGGTGTCACCGTTTTATTCTTGAAATAGCTAGATGTAAACGTAAGTTCGATTCGAATCCGTTTTCTCGCACTTATCGCCTGTGAAAATCCCTTTCCGGTTTCTTGCTTTCCAGTTTCATCCGATTGTCAAAAGATTGAACGCAACGTCAATCATCATCCTATGTATTTCTGAATCTGTTCTTTTATTGTCCTTTCTAAGATCTTCTTGTTCTCTATCACGCACACTAACATCTTTTTGTCTTAGCAGAATTATCGTCTTCTTTGGGATCAAATGATTTTTTAAAAGCGTCTTCAAAGAATCAGACCACTGGTATGAAGAAAGATTCAGAACATTCTGATCAATACCAGGATTAGCAGAACACCCAGTTTTTTTTGTTTTTTTTTTATGAATTAAATGCTGCAACTTATTCTGATGTTTAATCGCAACTTACCTGGCACATGTTAGAGGGCATCCCCAAGACGAGGCTTTGCCCGAAGGGAAGAGTCTCGTCTCCGGAAACTGACTCTGTTTTTACGTGGTCTATAGGGAATTTTTGACCTAGCCTACGGGCTCGGATACCCCACTTTAAAACTCGGCCTTGTGCCACATCTTACTGCTTGGGACAGCGGGTAAATAATTAATCGTAAGTCAAGAATGACTGCGTGCGTGAATGAGTGCAGCATAACGGACAAAACGAATCCTATCAAAATACAGTGTAACCCGGATATAAGAGACCCGGATATAAGAGAAACCCGGATATAAGAGAGATATTCTCTGGTCCCAAATTAGAGCCTGTGTTAATGTATATAAAATAGACCAAACCCGGATATAAGAGAAACCCGGATATAAGAGAAACCCGGATATAAGCGACTTCTTCTCCGGTCCCGACAACTCTCTTATATCCGGGTTACACTGTAGGAAAGTAAGCCCATTGTATTACTCCATAATTGATATTTCTTGTCCATTTTTGGCAAGACTATAAGAGAGCTTAGATATGAAGTTGGTAATAAACGCCTCTTCAATTTTCTGTCCTGAATATAAATTATCCCTTTTTATTCTAAAAGTAATAAAAGGGGGGGAGGCATACTTTGTTAGTCAAGCACAAATGAAGAAAAGACTTGTTAGCTGAGGCAGTTATGATTTGACTTTTAACTTTTAACAAAGAATTCAATCTCTTATTTTATGCAGTTATTCGTCGATGGATAAATTTACGTGTTCCAACAATATTTCCAGTCTAATTACCAGTTCCTCTGGCCAAGACTATTGATAGATGTTATTTCTGAGGATGTTTTCGTCGAAATGATGAAATTTGACACGACGTCTGTTGAATTTAGTTTCGATGGTGTCGTGCATCGGCAAGTTGATGGTGTCTCAATGGGTTACCCCTTGGGACCCATTTTAACAAGCCTTTTTGTTGGATTCCATGAAGAGAGTGTGTTATCGAAACTTAATAAACCTCGTGCATAGGAGACGCTAGATGCGAAAATCGCACCGCAGCTCATGGCGTCACACATGACCACGTTGTTTGGAAATCTTCTATGTAAACAAAAACAGACTACCATTATTGTTTTCTCCGTGTATTGCTTAATATATTTTAATGTCATTGTCATCTTTGATACTGGCTTATGTAAGACGAACGCTTAGATAGGATTAA